TACATTATGCGGATAGACTGGAATTTTCTTGTTAATACACCTGGAAAACCTAGAAAAGTCAGGGAATTTCTTCTCCTGTTTGAGTGGCAACCCTAAAAATATTTGTTTGAAAAACAATTTCTGTATAATTTTGATGGCTGTATATTATTTTTTATATATTTTTTTACATTTTTCATACAAAAAGCATGCGCTGAATCATTGAATAAAACAGCATGTTTCATTAGTGGGAACACTGCGCCTTTAGCGATCTCATGCTATTAGCATCAGAACATCTGTTTTAGGAGGAGACATCCATTATATATTTTTCTGTTTCTGTTGTTGTGGGGGAAGGAATTCAAGCGAAGCAGTCTTGAGGGGTAAGGTGTGGTTTCTGCTATGAAAGCCCTAACATAGGCATCTTGAAATTTTTGTGAGTAGTTTTCAGGCAGGAATTTTATCAGTAGCTCGAGTCACCTTTACTTAGGGATTGGATTAGATTATTTAATTTAATTATGGCAAAGCACATGAAGGCTATCTGCCTAAAGGGAGGGATGCCTTCATGGAGGACTTTCTAAGGGAAACTGGCTCGTATACACATTACACATGGGGAAAACCACAAAAAAACCCATGCAGCCAGCTCGTTTGCGGGATTAGAACCTCTGACCGAACTACCAGTGTTCAGCATCTTTACCGCTCGGCCACTGGTGGGCCCCCTTTACTTAGGGAGCTGCACGAATTATTTGCTGTCACTTTTTTAGTCTCATTCCCGTTTATTTTCAATAATTGTGTAGATATTTTTTTTGTGTATATATATCTTATAGCTTATTTTACTTTATTGTTAATATTAATTGTAGTTAATTTTTTATTATTAATTTTCCATAAGTGGCGTGGAGAGCTCTAACTCTTTCCGAAGCGCTAAAAGTGCTTAATGAGTTACCCTCTTATTCTGTAGCAGAGCATGAAGATAGCAGCAATACTGAGATATATGCTCCTGAACCACTTGTGTAATCCGATGATGATATGTCGTATGAAACTCATTTATTTGATAAGAAGGTTGATCATCCATCTCACCCAGGTCCCTCTACGCAGCCTCAAGTTTTTACTTGGAATTCTAAACATATTGTTGCACGAAACAAGTTTTGTGTTCAAAACCTGCAAAGTTTGTTAGTGCTTTTATCAAAAAGGTGCGACAGGCTTTGAACAATTTCACAAAGCTAAGAAATTGAAAATTTTGTAAATATCATTGTGTATAGGACTTGTGTATGTACATATATTTATCTCATTTATCCATATATATTCAAGAATGTTATGTATATCCAAAAAAAAACCATGTATACAGCCATAATACAGTGTTTTTTCATTACTATACAAATCCGCGCTTCACTGCAATGCTCGCTTAGTTGCACTTTTAAGAGCTCTATCAGCGCAGTGTTCCACCTCATGGAACACCCACAAATTAACAATAAATGCAATATTTACAAAATTTTACCTGTATACTCCTTTAGGCCTAGACAGACTGCATACAACTATTTTTTTTTTATTTATTCTGACTTTAAAGTATAATGCGCCACAAAGGGTTAAGTGTATTTGTTCATGCATATTATATTCCTGAAAATGAAAGCAGAAAACTTAACCCTGCTTATTTATGATTATAGCTAAATATTTCTGATATAGGTAATAGTAGCCTTTGGATGTAGAGTTATTATGAAACATGTTTTTTTATTCTGGTAGAATTTGGATGTTTTTATAGAGTTAAAACAGTGCTGCATTTATTCGTTTAAATCAATAAGGTTCTTTCAAACTGTATGTGCTGTGTTCAATTACATGATTTATGTGAATGTTATCCCTTCTGATATAATCTGGATACTTCTTGGTTTTTGCAGTTTTGAAGAAAGTATTTTGGATATTAGTTAATGGTATTAACAACTCTTTCAAATGGTGTATTTATTTTGAAAACTTCTATTATGTGAATCTTTTAATGCATGTTGTTTCTTAAAATGAAATTGGCAAACCTGTTTATTTGTATTCAGGAAAATATATTTCTAACCCAGATAATTATATGTTATGGATGTGTGTTGAACTAATTAAAAAGTATTTTGTGTTTGTTGTGAAAGTTGAGTGTCTAAAGTTCTTGTCTATATTATTAAAAATAATGTTGCAGTTACTCATTTAAATTATAAGAATATTTTTTAATGCTGTGTTTAGCACCAAACTGTTCTGCTAATGTGAGTGTAATCATATCACTAATTATGATATTAAAAATAATGTTGTAATTACATTTTTAAACAGAGAATTTTTTTTAAACTATGTCTCTAACATTAAAATGTTTTGTTAAATTTATTTGATTGTTTGTTTATAATCATGAAAATATATGACTATGACAATAATAGTATGTTGTAACTGAAAATGAAGTAAAAAATATTTCATACATATAAAATCCATGTATTTGAAAATTGGAAGATATTTTTTTTAAGCCTTCTGTGATTCATTATGCACTTTCCTTTGTATCATTTTATTGAAACTGTTTCTCAGATCTTATATTTTCTTATTTTTAAACTAGTAGAATGTTAAAAAATTTTTCTGAAAGATAATTTATTCTTTGATGAAAATAAAAATTTATGTTTTCTATTTGTGCTTTGTTAATTTGTGTAATTTTCCTTACATTGTGAAATATATAATATTTCTTTACATGCTTTAAAAAACTAATTAAGAACAACTTGATACAAGTAGATTAAAATTTTTATATATTTAATGCTAGAAATGTTTGCCACTTCAGAAATATAAATTTAGGGGTGTAAAAGTATAAAGAAGTGCATGATACACTTATTCACAGTGTGAGAGAAACTCCTACTAAAGTCAATAAACATATACCATTTTACTAGTTAAATTTTGTGATTTAAATCGGCATTAAAAAAATTTTCTAATTGAGGTATAAATAATTTGATCACAGAAATAAAATGACCATATATTAAGATTATAAAGCAGTTAAAATTTAATGTAAGGAAGCATATTTTATTATGATATGCAATGATAAAGTAACCATCGGGTTGGGAGATTGAATTCAGACAAAATTTATGTCAAGTGAATTTAATGGCCGTTTCTGCTCTTTGCTGTGATCCAGTGTGCAAGTGATATTTGAATTTTCTACAGTTTTTTTGAAGTGTTATGTCAGTAAGGTACAAATTATATCATTGAAATACACTGCTGCCCATCAAAATTGCAATGTGAAGGAAAGCAAATACGAAAAATGGGTTTGGATGACTGAAACGGGCAACTCATTTCATGCTTCTTCAAGTCTATGCCACACTTCAACCTTATTAGCTGGAGAAGGGTGGTGGGCCAGTCTCTCAGTAGCTTATGACCAGATGTTTTCAATGGGTGAGACATCTAGAGACTGCAGGTCAGGGCAGCAATCAAATACCCTGTGTACCGAGGAAGGTCAGAACACAATGTGCAACAAGTGGTTTTTCATTATCTTGTTGGAAGATGGCATTTGTCAGACCTCAAAGATAGGGTACAACCACTGGATGTGAGATGTCAGAAATGTACCGTTCTGCATTCTAATTACCATCGATCCGAACTAGAGATGTGCATGTCGTGCACCCATGGCTGCTCAAACCATTACACCACGTGCAGGACCCCTATGCTGATATCAAATGCAAGCAGGTGATTTGTGGTCTCCTCGGCCACTCCAGACACGTATACTGTCACGAATCAGAATACTGCACGAAGAACCAGAACTCGTCTGAAAAGGTGTTGTATCCAGTTTGTCGTATTCAGTTTCCAGTATTTGTCGTTCAGTATACCAGAGTTGCTGTCTCTCTGCATTGTCAAGGAAAGCTGAAGTCATGGTCATCGTGTTGATAGTCCAGGCGGCTGCAAACGTCAGTGCACTGTATGAGCAGATACTAGGTATGCTGCAAACATGCCCATTTCCTGACTAATGGTCCATGATGTGGTTGTACAGTTTTACAGGGCTGTCCTCACAATATGTCTGTCCTCTGGGGCATTAGTCATAGGAGGGTGTTGAGATCATTTATGCCATTCAATATGACCCTCATCAACCCATTTGTTCCATATTTGCATGACAGTAGTTGGGTGTTGACCAGTGCAATGGCTGCTATCATGGAACGATAATCCACACTCTCGATAGGCAATGATCCTGCCTCTATCGCATTCCAACACTTGCTGGTAAGCATTTATTATTATTATTCAAGACCTAACATAATATTCTGAGCAAACTCCAACATTACAAAGTGTTTACTGAAGGAGAAATTCACTACACAATTTTTTTTTATGCAGATCTTCAGATGTTTCTCTCTCCTGCTTTGTCTAAATGGGCTGAAATACCAATCATTTGCATATCCAAACTCTTCTTCCTTTTATGTGATTTTGATGTTCATCAGATCATTCCTTCTTGGTGTTGCAAATTTAATGGCCAGCAGTATAGATAACTCATTATTTTAAACATGACTAGTAGAACTGATATCTAGTAAAACATTACATCTCCATTTCTTGAGGTAATGGTTTGAGACTTTTCGCTAGAGAAATAACATGATGAATAGAGACTCTTTTCTGAAGAAAAAGTATAGCAGGATAATATATATTATTATAACAAAGGCACCTTTTATTATAATATTTGTATGAATATGTATTTTCTCATTGTTTACCTTGTTGTAAAAAGGGATCTTTCCCCCTTTCAATTTTCTTTTATGCAAATTAACATAGCCAATGTTATATAGATGTTTATTATAAACTTCCGATTACTGTGCTTTTTTTTATGTGTGGCGGTATTTTAAGCTGACAGTGACAGCTCATAAATCCATTACAGCTTCCCCCCTCCCCAAAAGAAATATATATTTAAATGTTTAGCCATTTGGCTGACACAACAAATCTGTGCATTTTTTCTATTTCCTATAATATCTATTTATTATAAGTAAATATGTATATTCTTCATTTGTTATATATGTAAATTTTATGTGTGTATATGTGCTGTTAAATAATACTCATTTTTTCTTTAGGTTCTCGAATTTTAACCATGACTGCTGTACCAAAAGATCAGATATATAAAATGAAATATCCTTTCAAAATTATTTTTTTAAATGCTTGGATGAATAGTTGGATTGATTTGTTTTACTTTCATATTATGTATATATATACATTATAGTTGGGAAGTAAAATACAGCATTCATCAAAATTTTTCAAGATTTTGAAATTGTGTATTTTTAGATATATGTAAATAAAATAAGAGGAAAAAAGTTATGAAATAAAAGACGAACAATGCAAGTTATTAAAGCATATGGCTGCATGATTTTGATAGAAGCAATTTTTGTAGCAGAGGTCCATGCATTATAACTCTAGCCACTCCCTGCTGTAGTTCCTTCTGGACATATTTTACAATAGCAAAACTCATGTCCTTCAAATCAGATATGCAAGGTAAGATGTTACGGATACTTTGTTGTTGACATGTCTCCGAAGGAAGTAATCACATGGATGAGATTGGGATTGTACAGGCCAACACCAGTAGATCCATTCCATGTCATCTATTTGATCCATCCATGCAGAGTATCAGGTAACTACTTCTGAACATTAAAAAAAATACAGCAGAAATCCATTTTGTTGCTGCATGGTTTTGATATTGAAAAAGTTTTTCATCTTTTTTGCAAGTGAGACAAGTGCCATATTTTCAACAAGGTAGTAGTTTTATGTCAGTGTTTCTTCAGTGGTAAAGAATGCTGTGTGAGCTTATCGTTTAGACAGTGTACAAAAAAAAAAAAAAAAAAAAAAAAAAAAAAAAAAAAAAAAAAGCTGCACTAAAACTAAATTGCAACAGTAAAATCCTATCCAGTATTCTTGTTACTTGATTGATGTCTGTTCTCCAAGTAGAAGTGTCTAAAAGAAACACTGTCTTGTTGTTGAATGCAAGGATGTCATCTAATTATTATCTGCAGTTGCTTCTTGCATACCATAGTTTGTCAAGGTAGTCCATGTATATCAGACTCCAGAGAGATATTTGACACAAAGTTTAGTTTCTTTTGTAGCACTTTGATTATTGTCGTATCATGATCGATGCCTTTAATTTACAATCCACATAATTCACAATCTCTTCTAGATAACATGCAGAGACTCCATTTGTACTTCTGATACAGATGAGGCATCCTGATCTTTTCCTTTTACAGAGGTACCTTTGTCTGAAATTGCTCATTCCATCACATAATTTCAGATGAATTATTTGCTTCCAAGCTCTTAATGAGCAGATATAGCTGATTTGCATTTCACAAATTTTGTTATACAAAATGTTTTCTGTTCCAGTGTTGCTCTTTTTTGAAGTTATGTGAAATGATAAATCGAGTAGAGAATTTAATATTGCATGCAGTAAAATCCTCTGATATTCCATTATTGTTAGATGTATTCATCTGTGATCACAGCTGCATAGAATTATGAAAAGGGTTTTGATACACACTTCTTTGCTGCTTTAATGATTGAAGCAGTAAAAATTTCGATATGTATGCAGGTTTTTTTTTTTTTTTTTTTTTTTTCCTCCTTCATGTTGAAATGGTGGTAGATGATTCATAACATTGAAATTTATGGAGGAAGAGGACAATTTTTTTTTTGTCTGAATTACATGAATCTATAAATGCATTTTTTTTTTTTTAAAGAGAAAAATCTGAGTTTTAGTATTTGGGGAGACCTTTTCATTATAGAGAACATAAACCAAATGGTTATCTCTAGAAAAATGTGCCTGTTATCTTGGTACTTCCAACGAGTAAACATACTTTCATCACCAGTGGCTAAGTAGTACAGTTGCTGAACACTGGTATTTTTAATCCTGGCAAATGAACTGGCTGCATGGTCATTTTCATGGTTTTCCCTATGTGTAATGTGTATACAAGACAGTTTGTCTTAGAAATTACTCCACAAAGGCATCCCTCCCCTTATGCAGCTAGACCTCAAGTGCTAATACCTACGTAAACCAAATACCTAAATTATACCATTGCTAATACCTAAACAAACCTTTCCCATGCCTAAATAAGCTAAACAAAATCATTAGTTCATTTGACGAAGAATAAAATCGAAAAAATACTTTAAAAAAATTACTTAACAACCTTTTGAAAGCAAGAACAAGGACTTGCTATGAAAAATTCACTTTGAAGGAATTTGTCGTGAGAGATGAGAACAACAAATTTAACAGTGCCCAGTAAGCATGGTTGTTGTCCTGTTAGAAAAAAGGCTCCTCTCTTTTTTTTTTTTTTTTCCAGTTTTTGTATTGTATTGTTTTTAAGCAACTTTTTTATCTTTTTTTTCAACTGAATTTTTGTAACCTTAGCTGGCATTATCACTGCTCAAATGAATTGGGAAATTCTGAATCCCCCTGAATTCCATAACTGTAGGAGTAAGAGATCCTTGATTCAGTAATATTTTAAATGAAAACAGCCTTGTATGTTAGATGTTTTAGTTGTTATTTGTGGGGAACATTATGTCAAAAAGAAAAAAATTATTGAGGATTGATTTCAACAACTTTTGTAGATTATGTTTGTAGACCTAGTTGCTTCAAATAGCAAAAAATGGTATATGTTAAAGCAGTTTGCTATGAATACTTGCTGTGAATACCTTCAGGTGGAGATTTGTTGGAAAAGAGGGATGTAAGGCCTTCAGATTTCTTCAGCCAAGGTGTGTGTGATCAAAACTGTGATGTGACATAGGCATATAGCTTTTTTTTTGTCATAGTTCAGTAATCCTTTTTAATCTAATTTGCTTTAGAATCCTAAAATACTGCTTATTTCCCACTGAACTGAAACAGAAATGTAGTAAGCTGCTTGATTCAAATAGTAAATATGAAAATATTTTTTTTCTTATATGCCAAAATTAAAGTCATGGTTTTTTTTTCAAATATAACTTACTTTTTTAAAAAGTTTTTTACATTAAATCTAATTAAAGCAACGAAACTGAGACTGATACTTATTAAACTAAGTAAAACCTTTCCAGTACTGTGTGCATAATCTGTTGCAAGTCTGTCTGAGTTTTTAATCTGTTGCAAAATAATCCTTGATAAGTGGGGAATTGTCATAGAGACTTTGTTATAGGAACTGTTTGTTACTCTTGGAAACTGTTAAGTATAGAATGCTTCTAGGTCACTTCCATACTAGGTATCAGACTCAGGAATTTTGCACATAGGAGGAAGGAAGCTGCTATGGTTAAAAGTATACTATTTTAATCTGCTGAAATATTTAAAATTTAATATAAATTGTGTGGGTAGATTTTTTTTTTCTGTCTCTTGAACATGCATGAAGAATTTAACCAATTAATTATGGTTGCAAGCTCATCTTAATTACATATTATTAGAACTGCATATAACAGCATTACACTCTGAGAATCATACACACACACACAAATCTGTATATCTATTAAAGATTACTGAAGACTTAACTTTTTCTACATATTGTAATTTTATTGCTTACCAGTGTCTAAATTTTGATATTGTAATTTTTTCTTCCTTTTCAAATCTTTAATGTTTGTGCGGTAATGTCAGCAGTGTTCACTAAAGTTTTATTTAGCATGGTATAATGTAAATGTGCGACTTTAAAATAAACCATGTAGCCAAAAGCAGTATAGAACTAAGCTAGTAAGATGAGTAGATTTTTAGCTTTTCATTCATGAAAAATGTTATTTTTGCATAATTGTGTAATTTTTATCATATAATAATAGTTATGACTTGTTACATCATATTTTTTTTGTAATTACCTAATTTATATACTGACTTGTTCACTTGCTGCATGTCTTTTGTGTATTAACATCAATCTTATGAAAGAGTATTTCTTAACCCAACTACGTTAAAAGGTATATCCATCTGTTTTTCAATGCTTAAGTCAGCTTTGTGTGGAGGTTATGTTAATTTTGGTGTTTTTCGTTGGTATGGAGATGTTGCCTTGGATGATGCTTTAAATACATTTGTTAAAATGTTATTATCTATTCCACAGCCAGACTTATTGGTAAGTCATGTAGTGCATTTTTATTACAATCTTTTCATTAAAAACCTGTTACTAGTAATAAAATATAGTTATTTATTGTATTTGATTTAGCACATCTGTTACTACACTGACTGCTCCAAACTGCACTTAAAACTAGCGATACTGCATTTTTAGTTTAAATCTTATTACAATGTGAAATTATTTTGACAGCAACTTTAATAGAAGGAAATCTGGCATTTTATTCTTTTTAATAAAATATATTATAATTTAGTTTATTAAATATATTTTAGTTATGTGATTAAAATTCTTCAAAAAATGTTTTTAATTACTATTAGTATTTTTTATTTCACAGAATATCATGGTAACATTTCGTCCTTTGCAGCATAAACCATTTATATTAATTTTACACACTACTTTCTTTGCACAATTGACTGTGCCAGCATAATTAATTCCTTTATTGCTTAAATTTTTTATTTATTCAAAGGAGTAGAGAAATAGTTTTAGCAACAGTTCTTCCAGTGATCTAAAGGGCTGAATAAATTAGTAAACAAAATGTCCCCCAAAAGATTCTGCTTTCATCTTTTCCAAGATACGGGTATAAATTTACAAGGCAACTAGTTTTTACATCAGGCAAAAGCTCAAATTTCATGCCTAATTTATTTATTTACTTATTTTGTGCATACACTGAATAAAAAGACATCTTGTCTTTGTAGGAAGAATTGTTCATCAGTTCTAACATTTTCTTCTGCTTTGTAACACAATGTACACTTCTCAGTGCAGGTATCCTTACCTCTAAACTAAGAGCATATGAATCAATTTGTAATTTTTACGATCAAGTTAATTTCAAGACAAAATGCAAATCAATCTTTATTTCCAATAATCTGTTGCTAGCCATCATTTTACTGAAGAATTTTGGGTCTCGGGGTTTGGACATAAACTCAAACCAAATCCTTTCTTATATAATAGAGCAATAAAAACATCTAGCCCAACAAGTGACAAGTTGCAGTTTAGATTTCCTGACTTCTGACATGCATTGGTTTCAGTAGATTGTTGTATATGATGCAATATTTTTTTCATAATTGATGGGAACACCTGCAGCATATGGAGCCTTTTCATCTTAGATTAAAAAAAGTCCCACACACTACTTGTGTTTCCATCAATTACTTTTCTCTTTGTAAAGTAGTTGCTTCACCTACGTTTTGGAAAATATTTTGAAAAGGAAGTCTTCCAAGTGAATTTGCTGAAATGATTTCCTTGACATCATTTGCTATTTCTTCATCTTTTGATTAATTTTCTTCATTTTCAAAACATCTAATTTGCCTTCATTTTCTTATAGGACTGTGGCTTGTTCCAAGCCTTTGTTGTCTTTTTGGACTATGTCTGCTTCATCCTTGACTAAATTCTCATTAAAGGCCAAATTCTTAAACCTCTGCAACTTCCTTTTGCTAGAATTTTATTTGTGGAATCAGTGCAATATGGAAATGATGAAGGAATGTCTTATTCTTCCTCAGGTCCAGAAGGTGAAATATTATGGCAGTTTCCTTTTCAAGGAATAACCTAACCATCATTTGATGAATCGAATTCATTTATTGTATTTGAAACAATCCATTATTTATCAGAAGAAATCGATTAAATTTGTTAAGAAATTCAGACAAGAAACATGAAACCCCTTTGGGACATTTTCGCTTCTAGAAGCGGGAGACTCTCTTCTGTTCCAACCAGTTACGAAAATAAAAAGAAAACCTTAAAAAATGGCATTAAAATGCTGCTACACCAAGTTGAATTAGCCTTTTACTGAACAGGGAAGAAGACCAGTCAAAATGACCGCTAGCCATAATTCTAGGTATATGCAGTTATATATGAAAAATATTCATTTCAAACAAGCCGAATAAATTATTTTGTCAACATGGTATAAATTTTAGATAAAGTTTTAAAAAATCAATGTTTAGAAAAAAAATTTAAGAAGTACAAACTGTTTAATTTTGTTTCCAGTCAAATTGAGAATTTCTATAATTATAGTGTTAACATGTAATGTAGATGTTCTTCAGATTTAACATATATCTCACTGTAAAAAAGAGTACCTAGTTCGAGATTATCACATAATTTTAATCAGTATTTCCACAAATTGTATAAAAAATCTGTTAAATTAAGTATAGCTAATTTCAGGTTGTCACTTAATTTTAATCAGTATTTCCACAAATTGTATAGAAAGATGTTAAATAAGTATATGTGTGAACACATTGATTATGTTTTTCACACTTGTTTATCGAGATTATAAATTAAAGGTAAATATGTAAAGTTTTGATGCACAGCTTTATGGTATTGGTTTTTACTTCAACAGTTGCCTGTCTGCAGTTTCCTTGAAATTTATTCCAGTTTGTTAATTTAACATTTTATTCACTTGTTTCTGTGTTACTGCTTTTCTTATATTTTTAAATTTTTTTTTATGTTAGTTTATTTAGTTATCTGTTGGTGAGGGACATTCACATTATTAAATACTTCATTAAAACTTACTCAGGCAAACTTAGATCTCTTTCTCGGTATCTATGTAAAGAGTACAAATATATGAAAATGTATGTTTGGAGTCCTGGTTCTTTTTCTCCTTTGCAGTTTAAGTTTAAATTTTTAGTGCATAGCTGCCAACTCTACCAGTTTTTACCATGAGTCTTGCAGTAGATCACCGAATCTCCTTGTTTTTAATTTTTAACCTTTGCTAACAAAAATGTTTCCCAGCAATAAATGAAATTTATTGAAATAATGAAATTAAAATTAAACAAATTTTTTTCCCTGTCCTTGACTTTCAGAATAATTTTTCTTTTCAGATTTATTTAATCTTTTTTTTGGGGGGGGGTGTTACATTTTATGATGTTTGTCTTATAAAATTTCATTCGATCTGTGTTGTCGTAATCTTCTGTACACATTTGTAGATTTTTATATGAAGATTCAACCAATGTTTAATCAGTTAGTACTTGTATTTAATTCTTTTTCTGCATTATACGGTGTATTACTAAGTTTAGTCACACTACTACGTACATTAACTATTAATTTTATTGTAATCCTATTTAAAAGTACTCCGATAAATAAGAGCTTTCTTTCACTCCTGGGGATTCTTCATATAAAAGTATAAGAAAATTGAAAATGGAAATTAGCCAAAGAACATGAAATTTAAAATCAAAGAATTTGAAGGAGAGAAAATGGCTCACTCTCGTAGACAATGTAAACCAGCCTGATTCGCCTCAGGCGACTTATGAATTGAAGCCATTATGCGGTGAAGCAAATGCGCAGGGTGCTGGCAAAATTCGTTCTACTTCAAATGTTAATGATTTACAAAGCATAAGTCTGCTATTGGAGAATTAGTTTTTGTTCTTATTTATACTTAAAATTATTATTTTGCAATGTACTTTGCATACAGTTTTTTTTTGAAGGGTCTTACAGAAAAAGTGTTAATTTTACAATTAATAATTTTTGCACATAAATATTATATAATTGGTTAGCATTACATTAATATTTCTAATGTAATACTATATTATATTATGCTTTCATTTTAAATGTCTAAATACATTTCCATAGATAAACTCATAAATGTAACATTTATTATTTTTAAAATAATTTAAAAAAACCTCGGAGAGTAGCAGTTAAGTAACCCTTTGCTGTGGTGACTCTTTCAAATACTGATCACGTCCTTGACAGGTTTAGGAGAAGGGTTGGTTTTAGGTGAAGGGTGAAAGAACCAATTCTTACCGCTCAGCTGGCGGAGTGTTGGAAATATAAGCAAACTAGTTTGTATTTAGTATTAGTATTGTATGTAGAATTACAATACATTGTTACTAATAAGAAATGTTAATTAGGATAATTTAATGCTTCCAAAAATGTTTTTGAGCACCTTCATTATGCAAAAGAATTAGCAAATTTTTTTATTGGGGTTAGTATTTTAATTATTTTGAAGTAAGATTTAGGTTTTAAGATAAGAGTTAGTTTGGAATTTCTTCTGTTGGATGTTATTTTGTTCTATTCAGATGGAGGTTTTTAGGATTATCCATTTTGTGGTTAACATTATTGTTATGTTAAAATTTGAGGGATTTGATGAAGTTTGGTTTTTAGAAATCTTTGGTAGCTGTTGCACGTGGTTGCGGCTGTGTGCAACAACAAACTATGCGTATTGGAATTTGCCAGTGCTTTTTAAGGATGAATTCATAACATGCCATAAGAGCCAATTTTTGATAAAAACATTTAATCAATATTAAAACTTAATTACTACAGTCGATAGACAATCACGTTGGAGGAAAACGAGCGACCAACCGCACCGACAACGAGACGTGACTGTGTGTCACCGAAACCACCTTCGATTACGGTTAGTGATAACGGCGTGCGGTTGGCGAGTACAACACATGTTTACAGAGTCGCCACAGTACTCCCCCTCCAGTGGCAACGTATTAAAGGTACTGAGGGTTAAATCGGACTCTATGTTCGGAACGTGTATCCTGAGGAGCACTTGTTTTCTGGGATCCAGGCACAGGAACTGGCATAGTAGCAGATGTTGGTGTAGACCCAATAGATGAAGGTGCCTTCGAAGGAGGTGGGACTGATGTACCAGTCTCGACAGTTTGTGGTGCTAAGATAAAGGCTGGTTTGAGACGATCAAGGCTCACCACTGTCTCTTTGTCGCCGATTAGTATCTGATAGTTCTTGGATGTGCGACTTAGAACTAGGTGTGGGCCTGTATAGGTAGGCTCCAAGGACTTTTTTGATGCATCACACCGTAAGAAACACATGTGAGGATGTAGCGAGTTCTTTAGGCACAAACACAGGTCTTGAAGAATGTATGCTTGTGGGCTTAGGGTATAATGCAGCCATGGTTTCACGCAATTGTTTGAGGAATGCATGGGGCTGGACATTGGGTGAGTTTTTTTGCGGGATTTATAAAATCTCCTGGTAAACGTAAATTGGTACCATAAACCATTTCAGCACTTGACGAATCCAAGTCCTCTTTGATAGCCGTTCTAAGTCCTAACAACACAGTA